CAAACATATGGAAGGAGTCTGTTCCAGACTTCATTTGTCTTTTGCCGAAGCTCAGACTCTGGCACAGGATTGGGAGGGTTGGAAGCTCCGTCTTACGTGTCTGCCTCTGCAACCCGAAAGGAGAAGCGGCGATAGAAGATGAAGATGAAGAGGAATAAATGAAGTGCCTGTTACCGAACAGTTTTTTAGGAGAAGAAAAAATGCAGTGTTCAGCCACCTCTCGTTCTTAATAATTCAGTCATTCGAGGAATTCGTCGTTCGCATTGTCAACGTAAAGATTTTCTTATGAATTCCGATTTAAGTATCAATAGGCCGGTGATATTGATAACTGAGTCTAAGATTCTGAACTGCCTGCAATCCATATCGTGTTTGTTTTGTTACAGTCCGTTTTACCGCTGCAAAGTTCTTCTCTGTTACTAAACATCGAAACGTGAATATCTGGTAATTTACATTCATCGATGTGATAATCGCTGCAGTTCTCAGAATAAACAAGTTTCATGCAGTTTTTTATATCAGTACCAATATTCTTGAAATAATTAACCAATTTGTGTATTTCTGTAAATTGTACTAAATTTGTACGAAGCAGGCTGATATATTATTTACGTTAGCTCTTATATATACAATATGCTTGTTATAAACTGACAGGCTAGCCTGTTAATATTTTTGAATGCATAAGCTACAGTAGACGAAATGTAATCGTGGTGGCTGGAAGGGCAACTTTGTTGTTGTTTATTCTTGTTTTAGTTTTCTGCTTTGTTGGGCTGTTCATATAATCACTTAGTTAAAAAACATATTGAAGTTTGAATGCATGAAGTGCGAATTTTCAACGTCTGATTTTGAAGTTGTTGATTTTTACAAATCCTATATTCCTAGCTAATGTACGGGTAAGTCTCTGTTGGTCATTCTTTTTCGGTGACTAAATTTTACTTGTAGTTAGTTAGTTTTACGTTTCTGCTTGTTTGAATGACTTTTCTGAATACTATCAGCCTTATTTTAGAATTGAATAAAAATGGGACACAAAGAAAACATGTCAATGCCGAAGGACGACGCGATAGACACATCAGAAGTGATTACGGCGGACGGATCAAAGATGACCGAGAAAGACGAGTACAACGTGCTTTGTAGTCAAGTGACTCCAATTGCACAGCCGTTGGCGTCAAGAAAGCTAGCGAAAAAGTTGTACAAACTTTTGTCTCGTGCTTCGAAGGTTCCGAAAGACGGCTGCCGTTACGGCGTTCTGGACGTCCAGAAATTGATCAGGTGTGTGACTTGTTTCATTTTGAAACTTTTAATATTACTGTAATCAAATTTTAGATAATTTTGAAATTCTTTGCGAGTCTGGATTGGTGCGAATAGTGTACACCCCTAATTGAAACTAGAAACTGTTTTAATAACTTGATGTCGCTGTCTTCTTCCTAAACAAACTTTTAGCCAGAATACGGTTTGATAGAATTACGACATTACAGTGCATCAATGCAAAAACAGCACCATAATACCGGCGTTGTTTCCATATGATAATGTTTAATTTCTTGACTCTTATAATTAGATGCCAGAAGAACAGATCTTCTGTTATACATCAGCTCGTTTCGTTGACCAGCGAAATGCTCAAAGGTACAAGTAAACGCCCCAGATTCATTCATTTATTAAACGAAACAGTTGTATACGTTATTCCAAACTTTAATATCCTTTCAACATTTATTGGCTGCCAGCACGAATCAAAAAATTCGAGTTTCTTCTTAAGCCATATCTGAACGAACTGTTATTGGCGATGTAAAGCAATATTTCTGGCTCTAAAAAATGAAAGAATGCCTGAATATGCCTCTCCGCTCCAACATTTTTTTATGTTGTAATTTCGTCAACATTTGGACTGGTATTTGCTGGTGTCTACAGTATTTCAAAAGTCCATCCATGGTTATTCCGACTCATATTTCATTGCGATTTAACCATCTTAGCATAATTTCCTCACAGGTTTTGTGATCTTAAATTTATTTACCATTGACACCAACTATATGAAGTCGAATATTGAAGTTCAATCAATATATTAACTGTTCATACCTTTGAATTAGTTTATTTATGGTGCCGGAGCTTTCAGAACCCGAAACGCTGTTCCGTTTTCAGTGCGCAGCTGCGATGACAAAAGAACCCTGTTTTGAGTTCTGTAGCTTACATCTTTAAAGTAGAAGTTATTCTTGTCTAATATTTGGGCTGAAAAACGCGGAGAAGACAATTTTCACTATAATCCGTCTGTCTTGCCTCTGTCAGATCACTGATTTTATACGGCATAGAGTGTAACAAAGGAATAAGAACTACGGATGAACTGAAAAAAGCTTTGTCCTCGATGCATAAAGAGAGTTAAATAGCTCAGGAATGACTCCATTCTTTTCCTAACACAAGTAACCTCAGTAGAGGATTCACCGACGTTAGCTATGTTAGACAAACTAGTTGAGTGTACTCCAGGCCATGAATCTCTCGCTAGGGCAAACACGACAGATGTTGACCACAAAGCAAGCGTGCAACATGGAGGAACAAGATTGAGGCATATCTGCTTTTGGCTAGAATATTTCTCTGCGATGCAGCAACTGATTCCTTATTGAAGAAGTGTTGAAAAGTTACTGATACAACGGGCATCACAAACAAGAGATGTTCTGCTTACACTAACGGCTCAAGTATGCACACAAGAGTTATTTCGGGTTTTGAACCGTGTGTATGTATTAATTTCTATTGTTGGAGTAATTAGATGCGCAAGTCCTGATTGTTTCAAGATTGCATTGTAACATTGAGAGCTCATATTAAATGAGGCTATAGAAAACCACCGACATATTCCAATAAATTTAAAATTGTTTTTTGAATTTTTTCCTCAGAGTTGAGCAAATATGTTTACATTTTTCTTACAAAGTAGGGCTCATCAGGTAATTGGGACTATCGATATTACGTCAGAGTCGCTTTTTTTGGTAATATTCGTTTGGTTCTACTGGTTGATTGCTCTGCACTAATCTAAGTAGCAGCTGAGGGGTTCGTCAGTTGT